CAAAATTCGGGAATGTTTACGAAACCGGGAGATGTAAATATCGACTCTATTAAACAGCAGGTTTCAACGATACTGACATATGGAAAATTTCAAATCAAACGGAATTAACCAAAATATACGCTTATTTTTTTTACGACATGAGTAAGCTGTCAGAGCGATATATTGATATAATATGGATCAAGTCTTGAAGATCACGTTGAGGCGTGAAACTAAAAATCATCATACAGTGTTGATTCCTATGTCCACACAGATATAGTCCTCTGCAAACTTTCACTTTCAATCTCCGATAATGATCACTCTTCGCTTTAAATATAGGTTTAAAAAAATATTTTAAATAGAACGGACACGATATGTCTTAAGACTTTTGGCGAGTTTTTCCTGGTGTTCAATCAATCGTTTAATGTCAAGAGGAAATTTCAAAAGGAACTTGCCGAAATTGTGTGTAATGTTCTGATTACTTTCGACCATCGTTATTCATTTTCAAGGAAAGAGCGTAGAAAGTCGAAGAGAAATAACTACTATAGCTTTTAAGTTGTGAACAGTTCGAGGTTTGAAATAAACGTGGCTTCACATGCTATGACTGTAAAATAGATTTTAGTGTTTCGTGGTTAAAATCACCTTGCAGTTCAAAAGCATTTTAACACGGGCGTGATTTTGGATGATTTTTTTTTTTTTTTGCAAGGGACTTCCAAGATTTGTAATCATTTTTTTACGGTTGGAGTGGTAGAGTACTGTCGTTCAAAATCAACAGAAATGAGAAGAGGCACCTTGTATTTCTTTATAATTGAAACACAATGCTAAAACAGATGTCCTCCAAATAACGCATAATTGTGCTTCGCTTTTCATCCTGCCTTTCAAAATCTTTCCACAAAGCCAGTTCGTCTGTAAGCACGCTCCTCATCATGTAAGGATAAAATATGAAAGTTGCAAGATCAATATCAATAGACAAATTGATATAAACAGCCTGAGAGAAAAACAAAATAAGAACCCATTGAAAGGGTGAAAAATAGAAATATTCGAAAAGACTAAGAAATAAATTTAATTCTCATTCTAATTAGATTTTCAAACTATGAAAAGATTGGAATTTGCAGTGTGGGATGGCATTGCAGTGTGGGATGGCCTTGCAGTGTGGGATGGCCCGGTAGCAAAACGATGCCCTTGCAGTGTGGGATGGACCGGTAGCAAAGCGATGTTCTTGTAGAATAGGATGGACCGGTAGCAGAGCCATGTTCTTGCAGCGTGTGATGGCCTGGTAGCAAAGCGATGCCCTTGCAGTGTGGAATGGACCGGTAGCAGACAATTAGATATTAGAAATTGATTATTATTTTTCTGCGTTGCTATTTTGAATGACTAATGTGCTTTTGTAAAGGCACATAATACATGTACATGAAGTTATCTTACATTTTCTTCGACCATTAAAAGAGTAAAACTCGCTAACATCTACTGCGTAAAACTAAATGAAGAAACATAGAAATTATGTTTTATATCCTGAGGCTTGTCATCCTACCCACCCCCTACACACACACACAATATTCTGTGTTCAGTGGTACAGAACACGTTCGATCATTCACATCACCTTCTCCATAAAATGTATATATGTTTCATTTTTTTCCTATCTTAAAAACAAAGATACGCCGAAAATACTGCTAATTTACTTCTATCTTAAATGTCAGAATCAATGAATAAAAATAGACGAATTTATACTTTTTTTCAAATACACGCTAATATGATAGCTGTCACAATACACTTTTATGATGCAGCTTTTTAAACTATTTTATATATTTATCATACAAATATACATATATAATTTTCATTCATATATATACAGTGTGTCCATAAAGTTCGTGTGCACTTTAAAAAATTTATAACTTTTTTTGTATTTGCGATAGTAATAATTTGTAAAAAGGATTAGAAAGAAGTAAATCTATATTTTCTAAGGTTTTATTGAAATTTTATTTAAGTTTGCACATGTCCTCCATCATTAGCAATACAAAGGGTAATACGCTGGAAAAAAGAAAATATTTTTTACTTATATAAAAATTGTTGCAAATTTTGTAGTAAAGAATAATTCAATAACTATACTTAAAACTAGGTACATGAAACTTTATAACATTTTTTACAGATTATTTCTATCGCAAATACAAATAAAGTTATGAATTTTTAAAGTGCACACGAACTTTATGGACACTCTGTGTACACACATATATATATATATATATATATATATATATATATATCCCATCTCGCAACAAAAAGAGATCGAAAATTTTAGTCAACCCAATACAGTCATCTATATACAAGAATACACTGAGAAAAACATTGATTTCAGTGTATAAATATATATGAATAAATAAAACATGAATTCAAATGTCTACAAAAATATATAAAAAAAACTTAAAAATAAATAAAGTATAAGCATAAATACATATGATACATAAACTCTGGAATAACCTTGAAGTTAATCCAATTACGTATAATGATCTAGGTATTTAAAGTTAATATCAAATGAAATCAAGAAATAGTTATGCAACCTTCATGTTTCTTATTAGTTGGTTCTGCTAAGTTAGAAGACCTTCACATAACCCACTCTTTACAGGCAAGAAGCAAATAATTTGTAAGCAGCTAGGAGTACGACCCGACTTAAAGGCCACCGAAGGAGGCCATCTCTCTCATTTTGAAGTCACTTCCTATTTAAAAACGTTATGCTTTTTTTTTTTCAAATAAATAAATAAAAATTAAAGAATAAATAATAAAAGTTACATAAACAATTAACAGAACACCAACTTAAAATTTAAAGTTAGCTTTACTTATATTTCTACTAATCATACAAAATATATATAAGTAGTCTTCATATATATATATGTGTGTGTATATGTGTGTGTGTGTGCGTAGTCTTCATTCAAATAGATATATATTTATATAGTCTTTATTCATATATATAAAGTCTTTATATATATATATATATATATATATATATATATATATATGTTTTTTATTCATATATATATATAGTCTTTATTCATATATATATATATTGTCTTTATTAATATATATATATATATATACATATATAATAAAAAGGCTTAAACACTAATATTATCTATATACATATATATATTATATATTATAGGCTTAAACACTAATATTATCTATATACATATATATATTATCTATATACATATATATAGTCTTTATAGGCTTAAACACTAATATTATCTATATACATATATATAGTCTTTATTCATATATATAAAGTCTTTTATATAGAGAGAGAGATATGTTTTATTCATATATATATATATATATATATATATATATAGTCTTTATTCATATATATAGTCTTTATTCATATATATATTGTCTTTTATTAATATATATACATATATATAGTCTTTATTCATATAAATATATAGGCTTTGTTCACGTATATATCTAGTCTTTATTTATACATATATATATACACACATATCATCTTTATATATATATATATATATAGAGAGAGAGAGAGAGAGAAAGAGAGAGAGAGAGACTTTAAATATTTTTATAAAATGAGAATATCATTATTTCATTGGTGTCATTGTTTTATTTTAAAAAATTGTAAGACTTTCATTTTATTCCCTTTTCAATGTTAATGTGGTTTTCTTATTATATTTTGTAATAAATCACACAAACATACTTAAATCGGACCCTTATTATCATAGTGAGCACGAACTTATACCTCACGCTATTATTATAATTGTTACACTTTGCACAGGATATTATTTCATTCTGCAAGTTACAGAATTTTAATGGTTTTGTCCTAACAAAAATCATGCTAGGACGTGCCGTTTTTACTGTTACTTAACGAAAAAGCAAAAATGCACTGACAAACAGCAATTGAAACATTATACTATATAATTTCATTTACAATCTTTTGGCACAGCCCAATACCTTCTCACCGAATAGGTTTCCCTCTTTGTCACCCTTATAATCTTTATTTCCTTCTTTCTTTCCACAGTTCCCCCAACTCTCAGTTTCTACTTCTGTCCTTCTCTTTCTTACTTGCTTTTCTTTTCACTATATTTTTTCTTTGTCTTTTTTCCTTCTCTCTTGTTATAAGATTTCGTTCACATGACATAAGACCTTTCCCTAAATCTCTCGTCTTTCCAACCAATCAGAGGTGTACACGTGTTCGTGTAGTTTACATCGAGATCGAGCAAAACATCGACAGAAGAAATAGCGGTTGAGAGATTACTCGAAGACTAGGCTGCGTATCCGGGTAGATGCTCGGGTGGGTGGTTAGGAGTACAAAGGTGGATAAGGAGGTGTGTGATTTTGGAAATCACAACTCTTAATGAATGAAAATCTGAATGAATGAATGACTGGCGGTTGGGAGGGGATAGGAAAGAGGAAGAAGGTCAAAGGATATTGGGGTGAGGGTCGTTGATGAAGAGTGTAAAAGAAGGTCAAGGTGAAGGGGACAAGAATACTAGAATGATAGAATTGTGATTGATTTTAAGGTAGAGAATGAATAGAGAAAGGAAAGTATCGGTATGGGAGGGAGGGAGAAAGGAAGAAGATCAAAAAAGATGCGAAAAAAGGGAGGAAGAGCACCAAAAAAAAGAAAAAGAGAAACGAATAAAGGAGAAAGTAATCAAAAATAAAAATACACGGAAAGAAGGAGAAAGAAGGAAAGAAAGAAGAAAGCGGAATAGGAAAACAAAGAAGGTAATAAAAGTAATAAATGAGAAAAAAGAAAAAAGGAAGCTAATGGAGTAGAGAGTGAAAGAAAGAAAAGCAAAGTGAGAGGAAAGGAAAAATGAATGAAAAAAGAAAACGAAGAATAAAAGAAAAAGGTACGAAGATAACAAAAAATAAAGAAGACAATGAGAAAAAAAGTATCTGAAGGGCAGTGACAAAAACGGGGGACTGAGAATAAAAATAAAAGTTTTAAAGCAAAATATACAAAAAAAAAGTTTTAAACGGGCAAGGGAGAAAATGTATATTGGAGAACGATAGACCGATATGAAGAGGCTGAGATAGATAGATAGATAGATAGATAGATAGATAGATAGATAGATAGATAGATAGATAGATAGATAGATATGAAGAGGCTGAGATAGATGAAAGAACGGACTAGTATAGATAGATAGATGAAAGGACGAGCTGACAGATAGATGAAATGACAGCCTGAGACAGATAGATATGAAGAGGCTGAAGATAGATAGATAGATAGATAGATAGATAGATAGATAGATAGATAGATAGATAGATAAGATGAAATAACGGACTGAGACAGACAGAGAAAGAAAGGACTGAAATAGATAGATAGATAGATAGATAGATAGATAGATAGATAGATAGATAGATAGATAGATAGATACGTAAGAGTAACCAGATACTAAATAACGCAAAATGAAGAGGACCATTAAGAAGAAAAGATGATATTTCGATAAGGCAATACTATAAGAAGGCTTGTCGTCTTCATCTTCTTACCGCAAATAATCGACTTAGGCATGCATAAATATATGTCAACGACAAAAAGAAAATACACAACAACAGCAACCAAAGCAGTAGTTTTTGTTATATATATTTTTTTAATTCTTACTGTTTTTGTTCTTGTTATCGAAAGCATAATCATTGCACTTTCGATAAGGTATATACGTCCTGGCGGAAATAAGAATGAGAAACGGAAGAAAGAGGAAAAAAACAGCTGTATGAGAAAGTGTAAGATTTTATTAAGCAAATCAGTTCTTTCACAATAAAATTGCTATTAACCAATCAGTTTCCAGAGTATATTAGCAACATATCGTGTGATTTCTGTCTGAATTTCTGGGATACGGAATTATGATGATTTATTTATTCATTTTTTACTTATGTTCACCCAGTACAAAACCCAAGAGCCACCCAAGAGATCGTTATAAGTGCGTGAAAGAAAAGAAGCGAATATTATCGGTTGACCCTAGACTTGAAGAGGTTAACATCATAGTAGTTGGAGAAGCATACACTCAAGAGTCTGTTCCATAAAGTAACAGTTCTTTGCAAGGAGCTGAGATGAACATCCACGTTACCAATCGAGCACAAAGTGAACGTTGATATGGCATGGACTTTCTGTGAAGATCTGCACTGTTGGAAGTCAGGAGTCTTTTTAAGCATCATCCATAGTTATAGGAGAAAGTAGTTTCGTCTATGGGTTCGGAATATTATCGTCACCGTTTAATATTTGAGGTTAACAACTTTAACAAAATACTGTAATAAAAATCCTGAATATGAATTCAGGCTTAATATATATATATTATTAAAAAAATGCCCAAAATATAAAGCAGGCCATAAATTTTGTAAATTATGTGCAGAGGAGAAATTAGCCATAGCTTTATATCATCAACCTAATCAGCTATTAACCTCTAAAACTGAAATCCTTAATGTATGTAGACATAAAAAAATCTTGGCTACTAGATTAGACGTTTTCCCGTTTATTGTCATTCCACCTTGATGTTGGCTTTTTTTTCCCTCCCCATTTTTGTTGAATAAATATTTACCCCCCACCCAACATACTTAGGTTTGTGTTTGTGGTTCTTTGGTCACGTGGTATGATTTTAGCTATCGCCTATAAATATGCGTTTCTCTTTGCCTCGTTAGCCTTACTTTCCCTGACGATCCGTTTAGATGAAACCTAGGTAGGTTTGTCTGGCTCACTAGGTGTATCTCTATCTATCTATCTATCTATATATATATATATATATATATATATATATATATATATATATATATATATATACCGGGTGTAACAGCAAAATTGTCCAAATCCTGTAACAGCATGGGATATTTGTCCATCCCAGAAAATGTTTAATACCTAAAAAAAAACACTAAGCTAGTTGAGTTTCTTCTTCCCAAGTTTGCAGATAAGACGTTTAGCCATCTTGACACCATTTGTCGTAAGAATCACTGAAAAGCCCTTTGAGCTATTAAAACAAAACAAAACATTCTGATATGCGTCTCCTTTATGGATGGACCACAAGTCTTTTGTTAGATTAATATCTGTAGAGGTTAGGGGTCCATTCTATTAACGTGGTATCTTTGAAATATTTATTAGCAAAGTGGGCAACAGTCATTTTTACCCTAGAGGGGCATTGTCTTATAAGAAAATACTATTTAGCTTAAAACCTCTTGGTTGTAAGTAGTATAACTAAAAAAAACACGTTTTCCAAGAACTTATAATAATTCTCTATAATTGTCTTACCTTCATCAACTTTAAAAGAAATTAAAATTTTAATGCGAAAAATACGATCCCAAAATATTACTCCACTTCACCATCATATTATCTTCTAAATTGTGTTGGTTAAGTGTTCTCATGTAGGACATAATCTCTAACAAATTCATCAAGTCCAGCCAATGTAGCTTTACATTCATCGCTAAAACGTTCTTTTTCTTCTTCGATGTGCCGTGGCCATTCAGGACGCGGGCGACGATGGCTCTCCGCAATTCTCTGTCCTTTGTAGCTCTTAGTAAATTTTGTCTTTTTGCTGTTTCTCCTAATAATATAATAAAGTAAATATATTTATTTCTTATATCGGGACACATATTTTTCTGGAATGCCATGTCGCACCTAGACATCTTCCAGGGCGCACTAGTGAGCCCTGGCGCGCCATTTGAGAACCACCGCCTTAGAGTCTTGGCTTCAGTTACTTTCCTGCCGCTGTAACGTAGCTCCCCTTTAGGCTTTCAATAAAGATTTTCACGGTAATTGTTCTGATGAGCTTTCCTCGTTGGTACATCGACTTTAGGAACTAAAATCAGTACTAGACTGGCAGATAGGTTCCATTGCTTGTTGTAACAATAAGTTCAACGCAAAAAAAATGTCTTCTTCCGCACTTCTCCCTTGTGGAGGCTTTCTTCAAGTTTGCTGTTTACCTGTGAACTACGATCTTCAAAAATTTAAATGCAATGCCAGTCGTCGACATCTGTCTCCTTGATAACTGTTCTTTTATTGTCCTCTTTGTTTCACTCATTCTTGCGTCTTAGTGGCTTTTATCGCCTTACTTGGGGTGAAATGATTTTTAAAAAAGAAAGGAAAGAGGAAAAAGAAGGAAAAAGAAATGAGAAAAGAAAATTCAAAGTAGGAAGAAGGAAAGAAAGAATGAAAGAAGAAAAAGCCAAGTAGGAAAAAGGGAGGAAGAGAAAAAGAAAAAGGAAAACAGAAGAAAGGAAAACAGAAAAAGAAATGAAACGAGAAAAAAAGAGAAACAAGGAAAAGAAAGAAATAAAAAAAGAAGAAATAAAGAGAATAAATAAGGAAAAAAGAAAGAAAGAAAGAAAGTAAAGGAAAATGGTAGGCAAAAGAAAGGAAAAAGAAAGAAAGAGAAAGTACGAGGGAAAGTCAAAATTAATCTGGATTTGTTGACAGAAGAAAGAAAAACGATAGAAATGCAAACTTCAATTTCGTCCCTCCTGTGCGCAAATGAACAAATTCCACAAACAAATGAAACAATTGTGCTCTAAGGAGCAAAGCTCATTAAATACAATAAAATACCAGAGAGAGAGAGAGAGAAATAGCAGAGACATTTGTGAAGCGGTGGTTCATCTCGAATTACATAGTTTTTGCAATAATACTATTAATTTACAAGCTGAGTGACAGCGTATCTATCACACGTTTACCTCACCGTATTATTCATTAAAGTACAAACCCACGCACGTACGCACCCCCCATATAGATAGATAGATAGATAGATAGATAGATAGATATGAAAGTGAACATTGAAGTCAACACTCACAGGCGACAGGCTGTTTCATACTAGGCGCAATCGTCAGGCCGCCTGACGATTGTGTCTAGCATGAAACAGCCTGTCGCTTCTGAGTGTTGACTTCAATGTTCACATTATATCCATATTTACATACGCTCTATCTATGATATTGAGCACTTTATCCCATAAATATAGCACACGTTAAACTATATTTCTTCATATATATATATATATATATATATATACATATATATATATATAATTTTTTAAGTTTTGTTGGAGGTTAACAAAAGTTCTTACTTTAGATTTTTCTTACTATTTTTAATAAAGGTTGGGACACAGTGCAGACTCCGAGGCACAACCCTTTGTATATAAAACACATTGTATACAGAGAGACGTAATGCTATCAGCATAAAACTTCTTTGCTAATGGCTTATGAAAACCGAAAGCGCTCAGACGTCATTCAACAATTTCGTGTTCAAATTCTTCCAGAAAAGTAGAAAAATGGTCTGAACCGTAGAATAATTAAATAAAAACCTTAAACAAAGAATTTTTGTTGGTCTTGCAACAAAAGCAGCATAAATTCAAAAATTCTATATAAATATACCCTATATATGAGATAACGATATATAGTCTGAAGGTCTGCTATATTTATGGGTAAAAGTGCACAATACCAAGGATAGGGTGTATGTCAATATAAAAGGCGACACTGAGGTCAAAACCGAGGGGGGTGATAATTTGCTTCATGCATGAACGCATAAAACAGACTATCGCCATTCGGTATTGACCTCAGTGTCCAATTATATATGTGTGTGTGTGTGAGGGAGAGGGTGGGAGAGAGAGAGAGAGGACTTTCAAAGCTAACTTTAGACCCCTCTCTACAGCATGGCTGATGCTGACCTTCAGAAGAGTGACTCGCTGCGTCTTCTCCAGCTAACGTTCTCGGCTGACATGAAGTGGAAAGACTATATTGAATCCATTGCTAGGTCAACTGCTAAAAATGTTGGTTCACTGTGTCACGCTAGAGAATTTCTTTCTCTCCAGAATCTGTTGCATATCTATAAATCTACCATTCGTCTATTCTTATAATATTGCTACCACATATGGCCCGTTGCTCCTGCTAATTATCTGGAGCTCCTTGATAAAATCCAAAGAATAATCAACAATATTATTGGTTCTGTTCTGGCATCTCGGCTTCAGTCTCTTTCCCACCGGTGCAGCGTTGCCTCCTTATGCCTTTTCTATAAATACTTTCATGGTAATTGCTCGGATGAGCTGTTCGCTACGGTGGCTAGATTCTTTGAATTTAATCGCAATACTAGACTGGCGTCAAGATGTTATCAATTTACAGTTGAGCCGGCTATTTTAGTTGCGTGTGACGGACTGTTTACTATGAACTCCTATAAAATTAAATTTTTAAAAAAATTATTAAACCGCGAAGTAGAGTTTTTGTCAAAGTATTTTTCCAAACAAATCAGCTTATTCAAATTTCATCGATTGGTTTGCGAAATTGAACAAAGCGTAAAGTTTGTAAATGTTATCAATAACTTCAACAATACTAAATACTGTGAGGATCTCAAGAAGAAAAAAGTAGTCGTAATAAATATTAGTAATATATCTAGTAGTAATAAATATTAAAACGTACTTACATTAGACATAAAATAAATCCATCCTATCCGCAATGTTTAATTCCTCATCAATGACAATAACTTTCTTTCAGATTTTAAATACGTTCCTATCGTAAAATTATTTGCTATGTATTTCTGTAGTAAACTCCATAAAATAATTATACTATTAAATAATCAAAATAATTCTACTAGAAAAATCAGCAAAATAATTATATTAAATCAACAAAATAATTATACTAATAAATCAGCAAAATAAATCTATCAAATCAGCAAAATAGTTATACTATTAAATCAGCAAAATAATTCTACTATTAAATCAGCAAAATTATTCTACTGATAAATCAGCAAAATACCTCTATTAAATCAGCAAAATAGTTATACTATTAGATCAGCAAAATAATTCTACTATTAAATTAGCAACATAATTCTACTAATAAATCAGCAAAATAATTCTACTAATAAACATCTTTAAACAAGGACTGATAGTAGTAATAAAATGCAAGACAACTAAGTATAGCGATACTTTCTTCAAAAAAAATTTCGGGAATCTAGAATTCTCATTAAAGGCAACAAACATAACACGTTGGTCAAATAGGCAAAGACCAAACTGGCTTCTTATCTCTAATCTGTGACTCGTATTTTCGTTCCAAGATATTCCACGACTATATATATATATATTTTTTTTTTTTTTTTTGATTTCCAAATCATATATAATGGTTGGGTTTGAGTTATTGAGATTTTCATTATTCCACACATTCTTTGAAGAAAGAGGATACTGGTGAAAAAATGTATGGCATAATGAACTGATACATCGCAAAACATCAGATAATTTCAGATTAATTCAGATGTTTTTTGTTTTTTGTTTGTTTGTTTGTTTGTTTTTGTTTTTGTTGTTTAGATACTCAGCCCTGGATTTGAACCTGGCTCGGTGGGTTAAATAATGAGTTTTTAATTATTAAGATTTTCTCTCTCTTTCTCTCTCTCTCTCTCTCTCTCTCTCTCTCTCTTTTATCATCTTGCTTCACGAACACAACCTCTTTCTCTCTCTCTCTCTCTCTATATATATATATATATATAATTATTTTTTAAAAATATGATTCCATCGCTACATAAGAGTTCTCATGTTTCAAAAGTAAAAGCTATTTATACTATACAACCTAACCTTGAATTAAGGACATCGGGCTATACAGGGATGACAGGTTCATGGTAGTGAGGAGTTCCACAAATTTTAAAATAGATAAAATTAGAAAGATAATATATAGTGAATTCAGAAAATTTAAAAACTACAGTCAATACAAAATTGAAAAGGGCAAACTTCCTCGACTTAACTCTGGACTTAATGAACAACGTATACCTACCTTACAGAAAACCTAATGCTAACCCCTTATATGCACACCCAAGGTCAAATCACCCTCCATCTACAATTAAGCATATACCCTTATCAGTAGAGAAAAGAATCAGCATGAACTCTGCAAATGAAGAAACATTCCAAAAACACAGTAATTTTTACAACACAGCTCTAAAAAGTAGTGGATACAAAAACGCTAACATCAATTATAGAAACAATAGTATTAACCAGAAGAAACACAGGAAAAGAAAAATCATTTGGTATACCCCTCCGTTCTACCAAATGGTTAGTATTAAGCTAGGACAAAAATTCCTAGCTTTAATTGAAAAACGCTTTCCTACTGATAGCAAACTTAGCAAGATCTTTAATAGAAACACCTTAAAATTAAGCTACAGCTGCACTGAAAATCTAGAAAGAATCATAAAAAACATAATAAAATCCTGGAAAAACACACATGCCAAAATATAATTAATAAAAACCCTAAACTAAAATAAGACAAAAAAATGGAAAATAAATGCTGCATAGAAACTGCGGTATACCAATGCAAAATCTCATCCCCTGAGATTCCTAACATTGAAATGATATATATAGGATCCACGGAGGATGAATTTAAAATTAGACAACACAAAAGTTCCTTCAATAATATTAGAAATAGAAATCAGACATCCCTATCCAAATATTTTTGGCATTTAAAAGAACTGAATAAAACACCAAAAGTAAAATGGAAAATAAATAGAACAAGAACTTGTAAAACCTGGGATGACACATGCCCTTTATGTCTACATGAAAAACTACAAATTATTAAGTTTCTAAAAAACGAAAATTTATTAAATCATAGACATGAGTCAACGGTTTTTGCCGACATCATGGCACGTGGAACTAGAACCGTCTACCCCAGCAAGAAATAAAGGGTTCAGTTTGACATTCCAACCACCTGAAGAAGGTCGGAGGGTACATCGGCCGAAACATTGTGATAACTATGGCAACAAAGATGAGGACAATAGACCGATTAATGTAAATAGTGAAGTTCGCAAATATCTGTATCTGGTCAAGATTAATAGACTAAAAGCATTTAGTTTATTCTACCTAAGTAGGTAAAGTAATTGGGGGGGGGATCACAACTATTGGCTCATATCATGCCAGTCACAAGACATTTGTTTAAAAATATCTGACAGTGAGACAGGGTGTAGGGAGAAGTGAGTCCATTCCTTTCACAAGACACAGTGAACATGAGCAATGAGCTGAAATTTGGAAGAACATGATACTAAGAGGTATAGGAAGTTGTGGAGAGCCATGATCACCCAACTACTGAATGGACACGGTGCATAGAAGAATATTCACTAAGGCATTTACAGCAAATGCACGGTATTATAGTTGGAGCTCACCCCACACCGTTTGCTGGAAATTTGCTAATAAATTTGTTTTCCTGGAAGGTTTTGCTACATTTTTGGCCATCCATAGAAATTTTAAAAAGGATTCTAAAATAAATAAAAATTACTGAATTTAGTTACCGTTAATCAATGGGGTTATTATTTTTTTTTAATCATTTCACCCTCAAGTAAGACAATAAAGCCACTAAGACGCAGGGGGATTAGAGATTGGAAACGACTATAAGAAAAATATTATGGTGCCAAAACAATAAGATAATTAACGATTGACATTGCATTTAAAGCAAGAAGCCAGAAGAGAGTTCTACAAGCGAAAATTGCGAGAAAAGAAACTGTTAGCATAGAACTTACAGTTACTTATAGCTATTTCAACTCTAAAATGATGCGACCTAACTGCCAATCTAGTACTGCGCTTCAATCCATAAAATCTTGGTACCATAGAGGAAAATGATATTTATTTGTAATTATTTAAAAAATGTGGCACAAGATCAAAATGGGGAATGGGGAAAAGGACAGTCTTCATCTTTCTTAATATTAAACTTAGCTAACCACAAACACTGACCCAAACATACCATAATATTCCTAACACCAAAACAATACATTTTTACTTACCTTTCTTACTACATCCACCATAATACCTCATGGTCTAT